TGAACAAAATGCTTAACCTCTCTAAGTTCCAGAAAAAAGTAACAGAGCTCAGAACAGTGCATACCTACAGGTAGTATATAATCCTAAGACTCTGTCCCTAAGCAAACTAAAAACCACCTAGAAAGTTACAGTGGTCTGCTCAACCTTTGCAACAGCTAACCAGCTGTCTAGGCCACTTAGCTCACAAATTTCTCCTGTATCTCTTTTAAAAAATTTTCTTACTTTTTCTTAGAGAAAGGGTCTCTCTCTCTGTCACCCAGGATAGAGTGCAGTGGCATCATAATAGCTCACTGTAACCTTAAACTCCTAGGCTCAAGTGATCCTCCTGCCTTAGCCTCCCAAGTACCTGGGACTACAGGCACATGTCACCACTCCTGGCTAATCTTTCTATTTTTTGTAGAGATGGGGGTCTCATGCTTGCTCAGGCTGGTCTCGAACTCCTGGTTCAGGCAATACTCCTGCCTCGGCCTCCCAAAGTGCTAGGATTACAGGCATGAGCCATCATGCATGGCCTTTATTCTTTTTCAGAATTTCTCTCTGTTTACACTGCCCATCTGTTCTTGCGTGCTGTCTACTTTATCCATTAGAGCTCTTAGTATATTAATCATAGCTGTTTTAAATTCCCAGTCTCATAATTCCAGCATCTCTGCCATATCTGGATCTGGTTCTGATGTTTGCTCTTTCTTTTCAAACTGTCTTTTCATCTTTTAATATACCTTGTATCATTGTGTTTAAGGCCAGACATGATGTACTGGGTCATGGGACTCCAGTAAACAGGCCTTCAGTAACGTGGTTGTAAGTTGTCAACAGAAGGGAAGCATTATATAGTCCCGATTATGCCTTAGTCTTTTAGTGAACTTGCGGTCCCGGGCTGTGAACTTCACAAGTGCTTTTCGGGTTTTTCTCCCAACCTTAGGTAGGACCAGATGGCTGGTGGAGGTTGGAGTTGGGAATTTCCTTTCCCCTAAGTGGAAGGCAGAGCTGGCTACGGTTGGGTTTTTCCCTTCCCCCAGGTTGGGTAGGCTCTGATAAAATCCTAGCAGGTCAGGCTCTGATAAACCTACAGTTTGTCGATAGTGACAAATTACTATACATTTACTATAATATTCACAGCACTCATTTCTTAAAGGTTACAAAAGAATAATATTAAATTTATCAGAAAATATAGAACTATGTTGGATTAGTTCAATTTTGTTGTAATATATAATCAGGAAATTACAGTAATAATTATTGTTATCTACTTTATCATTAGTTTCTTTTATGTCTGCAATTCTTCTGTAGAGTGAACTATGGAAGAGAAGAAATATAGATAAAACAGAGTATAAGATACATAGAATAACACAAATAAGACAGACCAATAAACATGTTGTAACCTTTTAACTTTTATTTTTAAATAATTGTAGATTCATAGGAAGTTGCAAAGATTGTATAGAGAGATCCCATTTATTCTTTATCCAGTTTTCCCCAATGGTTATATGTTACGTGTCTACAGTACACTATTAAAGCCAGGAAACTGACATTGGTATATTGCTGTTTACTAAACTATGGGCTTCTTTATCCTTTTTATAGGTAAGTTATACAATAGTGAACTCTCTCTATTCTCCTGGCACTTGGGCATTCTACTACCAGTCAAAGTATTATACTAATCCAGACTCAACTGCAAATTACCATATATAGACAATCTTTATACACATACAAACAAAAACACATCCCATATACTCATACCACACACACATCGAACAAACAATTATACCCACATCTGTAAACACTTATATAAAAATAATGGTAATCCATCTTCCTCAACCCACCATAGTTTTTCCACTAATTTCAACTTTCCCCTGCTATCGCTACACAAGACTGTGTATAAATAAATCTGAGGACTTAAAGAAATCTTTAAAAGTTACCTAAGGTAAAAATCCACCCAATGCTTGAATTCCCTCTACAACATCCCCACCAATGTTTGATCGTTCAGCCTTTACTCGAATATCTCAAATGACAAGAAACTCAGAAGATCTAAAGGAATTCAGTCCACCTTTGGTCAATATACTAATTTTTGAAAGATACTTCTAATCATGGGCAAAAAGCAGTTTCCCTCGAACTTGTATTCATTTGGTTCTAACTGTATCCTGTGGCAGACATTAACAAGCAAGTCTTACCCCTCCCTACCTTTCTCACAAGGATACTAGACATCCTGGTGTGCCTAAGATGATCCCAGTTTGTACCTGTTGTTCTGGCATAATTAATATCCTCTTTCACCCTAAAGATTTGAACAAATCATCATATAGTTCCTCTAATCAGCACAGCCCTCAAATATTTGAAGACCACACATGCTTTTATCAAATATCTCCTTGTTTTTCCGCTGTTCCTCACATGATATGATTTGGAGAGCCTTCACTAGCCTGATCATTTTTGCTTCTGAATGCACACCAGCTTATTTATACCCCAAGAGTGCCAAAGCTTAAATTCCTTGTTGCATAGCTATGTTAATGAGGGATTTTATAACCCCAACTGAAGAACAGAAATTCATTTACTTTCCTTCAAATACTAGACCAACATACAGCTATAGAATTACCATCCCACTGGGTAAACACCTTCTGAGTCACCTCATACAATGGTACTAAGTAGCAGTCTCTCATTATACCAGTAGGTGTCACTCTGTATATATTTAAAATTACTTAAGTAGAATTCATTTATTCAACAAAGATTTACTGAGCACCCATTATGTGCCGAGCATGATTCTAGGTACTGAGAATATAGTGGTGAACAAGAAAGTCACAATCTTGTTTCATGGAGCTTACAGTCTATATATTAATGAACAAATCTGTTTTATTTACTTTCTATATAAAAGTTTGTAAAATCCTATCCCTAATGCAGTTCAGTTCAGAACTGTATTTTCCTAAGTTAATGGATAACATTTGAAATAACTCATGAAGAGCAAATACTATAATGAAATAGAATCAAAGAAATTGTTCTACAGGACAACACTTCTCTTTCATACTTTAAGTTCCTAAAACCCAAACTTTAGGTATTCCTCAGAACAACGGAAAGGAATTTATCTCAGAAAATAATTCAAATTTTAAAAAATCTACCTACTCATGTTTTTACAAGTAGAGCCCAAAGTATAAATTTTGACAAAGCTTATTAATTCCCAAAATACACATTCCCTTATCTCTACTAAGAAAAGTTAAATGTCACCTTCTAAACACCAAACATACTTCCCAGGTAAACATAGTTAAGACAGTACCAAATTATGCCTCAGTACAGAATTTAGGAATTCTTCTACTGTCAAAAGTCCTTCTTTAGACATACCTGTGATACTCATAGCTATTACCAGGACTTCAAGGTGACTTATTCATGCTTATGGCATAGCAATGAAAGGTCACACTTTGTCAAAAGAAAGAGATCTAAGGGAAGGGGCAGACACTGTACATCAAGAAGGTATACTTGCCTGCACAGAAATCCAAGAACCTAGGAACTACTCAATTATTTTTTTTTTTTTTT